CAACCAATTTTCAGATTTTAGATACAGAATGTGCCAATATATATGCACCCTAATATACTGCATTGTAATATGTCATTTCCCCTAATGTCTTCACTTTCCTGCACACTTTCCCCCTAATATATGCGATTTTGGGAATAGTGTTTTGTTGGAGAATTGGATTGCAAAATTCAAAAAAGTGTGAACTTCAAAGATAGCTGTGTTTTAGTTCACATATTATTTCAGAAAGTGTGAATTTGATAGATTCCGAATGTCCTCTTTCCCCAAATTTTTAATTGAATTGCACATGCAAAATTCAAAACGGAATTGTGTGACTGCAAAATTTTGCAACAATATTCCATGTTTTTGAGTACTTTAGTCTTGATGGAATCTCTTGATAGTTTCCTCAAGCATAAAATATGAATCTCAGCTGTCAAATGCTACAGACCATTGCATATTAACTACCAAATACCATTTCAGGCCAACTACCAAATTCAAGAAGATATGAAATACCGTTGCAGTCCAACATATTAATGCTTCAGTTGCAACACATGAAAAAAATTTTTTTTATGTCAAACTACTGAATGCAATGATCAAATATTGTAATAAAATATCAAACAGGAAAATTCAATACTTTCATATTTCAGGTACAAGTATCACTTGTTCAGCAAATGTTCAGCAAACATTTGAATATTCAGAGAATATGGTGAACTTCCAATACAAACACTTGCAGAGGAGAATTGGAAGAATATGTTTTGCGAGCAAATTCATTTCCACAAGAACCCTTCTCTGTGGCCAAAGTCCGTCAGGGGAAATGGGACTGATTTTGGAGACCAGGCATACTTCACTACAGAGCTACTTCACATTACCTCATCTTTTTTCAATGTTTCTTTGATCATAAATAAGACAGGGAAAAGCTTGTGAGGAGAATGCTTAAGTCTCCTTAATGCTCGATGTAATTTAGTGCCATTTGGAAAATAGACCTGTGCCTTCATCAGGCTAGTTGTGGGCCTACTTCTCTCTTTTTACTATGCTTGCAGTCCTTATTACATCAAAACACTTCTGCTGCTCCTTAACTGAGTGACGTGATTCCTGAGGGTCAGTTTAATCCGGCCTCTGTGGCAGTTTAATTCCCGGGGTAAAATCCTAAAAAAACCCTCAACAACTTCAATCCTAAAACAAAGCTCAACAACTTTGGTCGGCCCTTTGGTCAGCCCTCATGGCCCTTCACTTCATCAAATCTGGCCCTCTTTGAAAAAGGTTTGGACACCACTTGTGAGTCAAAGAGCTCACAACTGTATTGTGAACAAGAGTATTTGAAAACTGAATATGCATGCCTCTATAGCATAGTTATTTCCCCTCTTTATCAGTTAAGGTGTTTGTCAAATCAAGGTAGCAGAATTGCCCAGCAAACCTAAAGAGACTCAAATAATATTTCCAAGACATGCACACATGCCACATCTTGCTGACCCTCCTGCTGTTCTGTTCTGCTTGTCTGCCATGACCCCGATACACACCCTCCTATTTTCCAGGGACAGTCCCGGAATTACAGAAGGCGTCCCAGTGTCTGGTTTGATTCCAGAATGTCCCAGTTTCCCCTTCTTCCTCCCCTCCATGTCTCAGAGAACCACGGACAGTGGGGTATGTGGAGATGCAAAAATGGAGTCCTGTTTATATTGAAAATAAAATTCCTGCACTAAATGAAGGAAATGGTGAAGCTGGCATACGAAGCCTTCCCTATAATTTTGAAGGAAAATGTCACCAAGACACCTTAAATTCTTTAGCTGCAATGCTTCACCAGCCAGCCATTTTTTAAAAAGGAAATGTGTGAAGTGTTTATTCCTTTATTGTAAATGGAGCTTTACCCTGCAAGCCTTTATATGTCTACTCAGAAGTAAGTCACTGTATTGAATGGTGCTTACTCCCAGGTAACTGGGTAAAGGCTGTGAAGTCTTACACTGCTATCCTAAGCATTTTTATACAGAACTAAGTCCCACCGAGTTCATTCTCTCCGTTTCTTCTTCTTCTTCTCCTCCTCCTCCTCCTCCTTCTCCCTACTACTATTACTATTATACCTTTTCCCCTGGCAGGGGCCCAAAGCAGCTTACAGCCAAATTTTTATTTCATTGTATTTATTTATGTAAGGTGTTGTACATGATCCCTTCCCTCACACAACCATCTTCCTTCACAACAATCCTGTGAGGTAGGATTGGCAGAAATCTTGTAATTGGCTCAAGGTGACAGATTTCTATGTGTACAATACGTCTATGTGTCTGGCAAGATCTAACACAGGAGAAGCTTCCTGATGTAGAATAGAAACACCTCTCTTTTTATTGGAGAAATGTTGGAGCGTATGATCTAAAGGCAGCTCTGCAGCTTTAGATAACAGAAATGCATCCCAGAAATTAGCTATTTCCCCATTTAATTTGCAGTTGAGCCAAACAGAAAGTTGAATAATTGCCCCATAAATGCAGCAGGGGGGCAATGTTTTATTGGGGGGACGTACAGCGCACTCTCTCACGCGCTTGGCAAAGGCTGCTTTCATTGTAGTCATGTGCTCACTGATTCACTCTGATTAAATCTCTCTGAACTAAAAGGCTGCAGATTCATCTCCAGCTCTGTGACACAGCCGGTCTTGCAAAAATGCAGATAGGGTGCCCAAGGCTGCTGTAAAAGTCAGCGACATTAGCACGCACGGCTGTCAGGAGTGGAGGCCTGGGCTAGTCCAGAAATCACTTTTCCTAGCATCTGTAGCAGAGCTCTTTCCAAGCAGTAATCCAAATGGGTCCTTACTTTAAAATTTGATCTTGTTTTTGCCTCAGGGGTTTCTGAGGTCCGGTTCTTAACAGCTTTGTTGTTGCCACCTGGAACGCCATTGCACAAGGAAAGATATATGTGACAGTTTTACCACACCACTGCACCTGATGCTGTAAAAAAAATATTGTTACTGCTGTGTGGGATGATACAGAATTTTGGGAATGACATGTAGCCAGAGAGGCTCATGGGACACCCATACAGATGTGGTGATTTTCATCACTCCAAGGCTATCTCTTGCAACCATAAAGGCTCCTTCTCAAAAGAAAGGTTTACAATGTGTGATGCTGCTTCCACAGGGCTGTCAGGAAATTGGCTCTTGACTATGAGGGCAATTGGAAATGGGAATGATGGGCAGTGACTCTGAAAGACAAGGACTTACCCTCCCAAAATGGCTGAGCACCCTGCCCCCCAAGCTAAGCATGGTATTGAAAAAAAGAGTGCTGTTGTAGTCAAGGCTAATTCACAATGTACATTATAATATACGGTTGTCATATTTCTAGAAGTAAAATACAGGACACAAAGCTTTTTTTGGGGGGGGAGCATGGAACTCAAAGTTGTTAAGCATTTTGGGGGAAGAGCTTTGTCAAAGAGTAAGTAGCTCAGAGCAGCTGAACTCAAGCCTTTTTCAGGGTGTGAGGAGGGGAAGGAAAATAATCCTTTTTGAAATCCTGGAGGGCAGCTGCAGGACCAGGGCCGGATTTAGGTTTGATGAGGCCCTAAGCTACTGAAGGTGATGGGGCCTTTTATATGTTCTTTGTCAACAACAAATTGTCGCTTTTTGTGTGTTGAATATATGCTATATGGTAATTTATGGACCTAATAGGTATCTGAAGCCATTTGCACATGCAGAATGTAGGCACTCTATATATAGAAATGAGCAAACCCCTGATATTCTAGGGAGCAGGCTAGCAGGCGGGGCCCATTACTTACATCATAGGAGCCTACACAACACAAAACACTGTTGCTGTATGTAAGATTTATTTCATTTGTTTTTCATCTTATATTTTGGAAATGTACATCCAGGTTTTTTCCTTTTTTGCCCCCCCCAAGAGAGTGGGGCCCTAAGCTATAGCTTATTTAGCTTATACATAAATCTGGCACTGGTACAGGACAGTGCAACTCATGGGTAGGCAAACTAAGGCTCGGGGGCTGGTTCCGGCCCAATCGCCTTCTCAATCCGGCCTGTGAACAGTCCAGGAATCAGCGTGTTTTTACATGAGTCGAATGTGTGCTTTTATTTAAAATGCATCTCTGGGTTATTTGTGGGGCATAGGAATCTGTTCCCCAAAATATAGTCCAGGCCCCCACAAGATCTGAGGGACAGTGGACTGACCCCCTGCTGAAAAAGTTTGCTGACCCCTGCTGTAGCTGGTCCTCGACTCGGTGCAAGGCAGCTTCCACTGTTCCCTGTCCTTAAGCAGCAGGTCCTGAAGTCTGAGGCTCATCGCTGTAGGATTTGTTGATCCAAAGAGCTCCTAGTGCCCTCCTAATCCTTCTTGACAGTTCCTGAATGTACATCATCATCAGCTGTCAGATTACATATCTACATAGAGAATGGCAGGAGATGACAAAGAGCAATTTCACTTCTTATATTTTAGGGCCAAATTAGAGGAGGGGTGAAAATGCATGTATAGTGGTACCTCGGGTTAAGAACTTAATTCGTTCCGGAGGTCCGTTCTTAACCTGAAACTGTTCTTTTTTATTATTTTTTTTTATTAGGAATTTAAACAGATCATATTATCTTAAAACATATCATCCTTAATTCCCCCCCATTTCCCCCCTCCCTCCCATAAAACAACCCCCCCTCCCTGCCCGCCCCCGACTTCCCTCAGTTCCAGTTTCTGGTTTCTCTATAAACACTCACAAACTTTTTATTGATAATAACCAATTAGACTAATTAAGGATTTATACAATTTTGTAACATGCAGAGAATAACCTGAAACTGTTCTTAACCTGAAGCACCACTTTAGCTAACGGGGCCTCCCACTGCTGCCGTGCCGCCGCCGCCCGATTTCTGTTCTCATCCTGAAGCAAAGTTCTTAACCCGAGGTACTATTTCTGGGTTCATGGAGTCTGTAACCTGAAGCGCTTGTAACCCGAGGTACCACTGTAGTAGGGGTATGTGTTAGATGCTATTTATTGAAGGGTTTCTTTTTGGGGTGGGGTGGTAGAATGGCTAATGATCCAGATTGGTGGAGGAGGATTTAGCCCTGTCCTCCCTTGCTGCAGTTGGTTAGAGCTTGGTGCTGATGATGCCAAGGTTGCAAGTTAGATCCCCATATGGGGCAGCTGCATATTCCTGCATTGCAAGGGGTTGGACTAGATGATCCTCAGGGTCCCTTCTAATTCTATGATTCTATGAAGCTGCTTGTTTGCATAGGGAGCAAATCCCCCACTAGGGCCAATGACGGATTTTCCCAAAAGCAAATCCCAGCTTGAGAGGTGGAATTTTCTTCAGGAGCAGAGTTAGAGTTAAGTACCCCCTACCTCTCTAGGAACTCCATCATTATCAGCTACCACCCTTGCAATGATGCCATTTGCATTAAAAATATAAAATAAAAAACTGTATGTGGTTTGACCAGCAGAAAAATCTGTTTTTGGATCCCGTTCTAGCATACCAAGAATACACAGTGTTTCATATGAGTTATATACCAGTGATTTCTTCACTGAAAATTAAGTGGTCTGCCTGTAGCCATCACTGACCTTAGACAGTGGAAGTCGCTATGCTTGACATACTGGTCTTGCAGTAGTGGGATTTGCAACTGGCTCATCAGATGCAAAAGATCTAACCTGATTAAAGTAGGACTCTGTTATTGCCGTTTTGCAATGCTGGCAATTTGCTGCTAATGTAATAAGGTTTTTGATTCTGGAAGCAGTTACCTATCTTCTAAAAAACCCCACGCAACCCCCGCCCCCAACTCCCTTTCAAAACAACAGTGACAGCTAATGGGTCTTACTTGGTGCTCCTTCCCTTTTTAATTCTTCAGAGTGCAAACGTAAAGCCCATTTACCATGCTTCAGTGCTTTTGATCTTTATCTGAATTTAGATTGCTTTTTTTGCTGCTACTGTTCTAGTTCACACACAGTTTAATTGCCAGGAGATTCCATTTTTAGAAACACATAGAGAAGGGTGGGAGAAATGTCAGGGGGCTAGGCTGGTGACTGCCTGATCCCAATCTACATCTGGAAGCCCTCCCACACAGGGTCCCCAAGGCCTGTGTCCTATGCTGGAACAGATGTGAGGAACCATTGGTCCTCCATATGCTGCCGAACTACAACTCCCATCAGCCCTAGCAATCATGGCCAATGGCCAGGGATGATGGGAGTTGGAGTTCAGCAACATCTGGAAGCCCACCAATTTCTCTCTTGTTCTCTGACTTGATCCATTGAAATGACTAACTTAGGTCTATTCATTTCATTGGGTTTTAGTCTGGGGAAAAGCTAATAGAATACAACCCTTTCTATCACTTTCTCTTATAATCTGTCCCTCACTATCTTGAAAAGATGAAGAGCCATCATAAAATACAAACACTATATTATAAAATACAGTACGTAGCCAATCATGTACTGAATTTCATGCACTCCTGATTGCTCATTATATCCAACTGTTTCTTTTAAATTATCACCACTATCATCATTAGTCTTCTGAGTTTAAGAGCCCAGTATCAGGGCAGACTTGGGTGATACTAGTGAGGACAAAAATTTGGCGCCCCTAAATATTTCCTATTTTCATGCTCGCCTCCCCTTTGCCATCCATTCTGCACATTTTCTCAAGTGCACTATGTCATAGTTGTGGCAACTCAATTTCCTCTCTGACTTGGGCCTAACTTTGAGTAAGGTAAAGGTAAAGGGACCCCTGACCGTTAGGTCCAGTCACGGACGACTCTGGGGTTGTGGCGCTCATCTCGCTTTACTGGCCGAGGGAGCTGGCGTACAGTCATGTGGCCAGCATGACTAAGCTGCTTCTGGCGAACCAGAGCAATGCACGGAAACGCTGTTTACCTTCCCACCGAAGCAGTACCTATTTATCTTCTTGCACTTCGGGACTGAGCCATGAGAGCTGACCCATTGCGAGGATTCGAACCACCGACCTCCTGATCGGCAAGCCCTAGGCTCTGTGGTTTAACCCACAGTGCCACCTGCATCCCAACTTTGAGTAGGTACCCGCATAAATATAGGTATCATCATCATCATCATCATCATCATCATCATCATCATCATGCACCCTCTCGGCTTGGCTCTCTGTGTGGGGGAACCACCCTCACTGCCAAAAATCGGGCACTGTTAGCATTGCAGGGTAGCAAATTCTCACCTCCCATATAGCCATTGGTGTTGTTGGATGGAATGAACAAGCTTTACAAATTTTGCTTGGTCATTACTTAATGTATTGCCGGGAAACCACAGAGGAATATATATACTGTTACTTACATGGATGAAGACCTTCATTTTCCCCCCAGAGCTACAATTCCTTAGAATGATCAAACAATCAAACCCTCTTCACAGGAAAATCTGAGAATGGTTGCTCTCTCCAGAGGATAGGAGTTTCCTAAGAGCTCTTAGCTCCCTTAACAGACTAAAGCTCCCAGGATTCTTTGGGGGCAGCCATGATGGTTTAAAGTGGTCTCATAGCGCTTTCAGTGTGTGATGTGATTTGGGCCTTGGACTGAGGAGACATGGGTTCAAATCCCCACCTGCCTATGGAGCTGAACACAAGGCATTGGGCTAGTCTCTCACCTGAGGCCTTACAGGGAGGATGCGGGTAGCGTTGTAGTCTAAACCACTGAGCCTCTTGGGCTTGCCAATTGGAAGGTTTGAATCCCCGCAACTGGGTGAACTCCCGTTGCTCTGTCCCAGCTCCTGCCAACCTAGCAGTTCGAAAGCACCCCAGTGCAAGTAGATAAATAGGTACCACTGTGGTGGGAAGGTAAACGGCGTTTCCGTGTGCTCTGATTTCTGGTGTCCTGTTGTGCTGGAAGTGGTTTAGTCCTGCTGGCCACATGACCCAGAAAGCTGTCTCTGTCCCTCAGCCTAAAAAGCAAGATAAGCGCTGCAACCCCATAGTCGCCTTTGACTGGACTTAACCGCCCAGGGGTCATTTACCTTACAGGACTATTGCAAAATGACTGTACATTGCTCTAAGCTCCTTGGAGGAAGAGCAAATGGGTTTAATTTTTTTTAATAAATAACATGTACTTTAAATGTCTGGCAGGAAGAAATGAACAGGAGCTTTTATCCTGCATGGAGAAGGAGTGAGGAGCAAACTCCACCTGTTGATGTCTGCCTCCTTGGCACTTGTTAAAGAGATGGGGGACTTGTTTCATTTCAAACACCCTTTAAGACTCTTAGCCCCTGTGGTGGTGTGACTGATGAGTTCTTCAGCTACCATAGCATGCCTTCTTATTGTGCATTTTGATAGGGAGACAGACAGTTATGTTTCCATCTGACCCTGCTTATTTCTTGGAGGCACCAATGTACCCTGGCAATGGCGACTTTGGATGGGAAAGTTCTTAATCTCCTTTTTTTCGGGGCAGAAAGTCTGTTTAATATTTCAGCGCAGACTGCCGACTCGCTTGAGAGCTCGCAGGGGATTTTATTTCTGTGTCAAACCTGCCATCTGCCAGCCCCAAATCATACTTGTCTTCCACCACCTTGGAAAGGTTAGCATTTGTTAAAAGATTTTTTTAATGCTCCCCACTAAAACAGAAAAAGGATCCAAGAGGCAATTTGCGTGGGAGGAGACCATCAAGAAGAAAGCCTTGAGAAATGCAGTTTGATACTATTTGCTCTGTTTGATTTTTTTGTCCTCATTCATACTACTGGTTTCAAAGTGAGGGCACAGTTAGAGTTTTTGTGGTGATATGCCCCACAGCTATTTTTAGATTTATTAGGTCTTTTTATTGTACATGTAAGAGTCAAATTAGATGCCAGCAGCCATTTGCCTTCCCCAGTCATTATAAAGTAGGGTGGAATAAGAACATAAGAAAAGTCTGCTGGATCAATTCCAGCTTCTTGTTCTCACATTGGCCATCAAGATGTTTTCTAGATTATACTGCAGCCTCTGCATGCTTAGTTGGTGGAAACCAGAAGGAGAGTCTTCTTTGCAGTGGCCCCCTTTTTGCAGAACTCCCTTCCTTAGGGCTCTTCCAGATACCATTTCTATTGGGCTGGTGGTTATATGGTTGGTATTGCTGGGTAGGGACAGTGGGAGTAGGATGTCCCTATTGTCATCAGAGAAATGTTGGGTGGTATGCAGCTTGCAGAGGAAGAAGCAGCAGGACCCAGAAGGAGAGGATGTGTGGCAGATTTGGGTGTGCTGTGGACCACACCCAGCCCACAGCCAAGCAGTCCCCCCCTGTTTTAACTGGACCCACAACATAAACAGGGAGAATAAAGGAGAATAAATGTAAGGAGTGCATTTCTCCCATGTTTTCCTTTCACCTAATGAATAGATTCCACCCACTGCAGGAGCTAATTGTGCACAAAGGAGAGAGGAAGGATTTGTCATAGCCAATCAAGGAGAGGGCAATAGTCACCCAGAGGCTTTCCAGTTAATTAAACAATTCTGGTGGGGGGGGGAGGGAGAGAAAGCCAATTAATTTGATAGGAACTGGTCTGGACTTCCCTTGAAAGTAGCTGCTGTTTTATCACTACATTTGCCAAGCTTCTAACCAATATTAATATCGTAAGCCATCTCAACGCTGTTCTCTTCAGCTAGAACAAAGAAACCCTGTTCTAGATTCTCGTCTGGGCTAGAAACGGAATGAAGAAAGGAGCAGTAGGCATTATGGGATGACATGCACAGAAGTAATTTCAAAGTGATCTAAGAACTGAGATGGCTTTTCTCCCAAAGAAAGGTAAATGCATGCATATTTCCAAACCGATGAGAAAAGGACAGAGCCAACTCTTGTTAACTGCAGTATCTCAAAACCAGAGGATGCTTGAAATGCGTCCGTAAATTCAAGTATTACAATGGACCCTACATGAAAACCCGAGTCCTATGCATGCCCAGAAGAACATAGTGAGACACACTTGCAAGTAAGTGTGTTTATTATTATTATTATTATTAATTATTTATTGAATTTATCTACTGCCCTATATCCACAGGTCTCAGGACAGTTCACTGGATGTAGGATTTCACTGAACGTAGACAGAAATTTCATTTGAAACCTTCCTTCTAGAAACAAAACCCAGCCATTTTGTCGAAACATTTTCCACCAATATTTTGAGTGCTAACCTTCACTGTCACTTAATTTCAAAAGCAATCCTGCATTTATTTCTTTAACTCCAT